TGTGTGTGTTTACATCAGGTCATCGGCAAGAGCAGCGAGAAGTCAGAGGACAGCTCCATCGATGAGAAGTACCTCATCGCCACCTCCGAGCAGCCCATCGCGGCCTTCCTGCGGGACGAGTGGCTCAAACCCGAGGACCTGCCCGTCCGCTACGCCGGCTTCTCCACCTGCTTCAGACAGGAAGTGGGCTCCCATGGCCGAGACACCCGCGGCATCTTCAGGGTGCACCAGTTTGAGAAGGTCAGTTCACTTTGTGAGTGAAAACATTCAAATAAATGAATAGCCACATTTATCCAATCATTAGATTGGATATGGATTACATTGGATACGCCTGATTACCCCTTTTTTGTTTTGGCATTTTTGTAAAAACTATGTCATGATGTAATGGTTCTATCTCCTTGTAGATTGAGCAGTTTGTCTATGCCTCCCCACATGACGGCAAATCATGGGAGATGTTTGATGAGATGATAGGGACGGCAGAAGAGTTTTACCAGTCGCTAGGAATCCCTTACCGCATCGTCAACATTGTCTCCGGTAGGTCCCACACACGCACACACATACGCACACACCCATCTCATCACACTCTCATCAATAGAGCAGGTCACAGTGAGGAGATCAGAAATGCACATTAAGTATTTTTCGGCAGTTTCTCACACACACACAAACACGCATACACACATCCAGCTAACCTCAGTCAATAGAACAGTTTTGAGATCAGTCATTAACGAGTGATTCAGACTAAACAAGGAATCAAAGCATTAAACAAACAACAAATAATCTGTTCCATAGTAACCATTACAAAACACCATGATTAGAAGTCTTTACATGTCATAAATACAGCTATGTTTCTGATTATGGTTGGTATAAATTCTTGTTAAATAGTCATACAGTAGGCTAGCACGGTAGCAAGTGAAAGATAGAGCAAACTACAAGACTGTACATGTGTTGGTCCCTTGGTACAGAAAATAGATTCTGCTTTCCCAAGTATTAGGCAGGATATTTTAAGGACGCAATTTGTTTTTGTTCTATTTATAAATCAAATTTGCTAATATTGTTACACTTTAAATTTACAGTTTTGAGTTTTTTTCTGACTTCAGAGCTGGTGGAAGAGGAAGAACAGACACAAAAGGAACAAAAGTCAAAAAGGAGAGACAAAAATGTCATTACACAACGAAGACGCACTTTTTGACAATCCATCCTCAGAGTCGTAAAAAAAGGAACAGTACAGTAAAACAAAAAAGCTATAAAATATATTTTTCTAAATGAAAAAGAGCAAAATATAGCATAGAATATACCATTATAAATACTTCTGCAACATCAAACTGCTGACTTTACAGACAGACTTGTCTAAAATAAAAGTCTTTACTCAAGCCTTTAGTGTGTAATATTGTAGGAAGATATCAACTGGTTTGTTTGACTGTACCTGGATCAGCACAGATTCAAATGACATCACAAAATTACTTTTCCTACAGGTGAAAGGTGTCAGATGGAAAGTACATATATAGGCACACATTCAGCCAGATGGCTTGCTGACCGCCGACTGTATTTTTAGGTAGAAAGTAGCATGTGGTTACATTAGGTGATAAACTGCTTTATATTCCAGCATGATACTAAAATTCCTGTTATAATATAAAAATGGGAGCGTGTATTAAAACAAAGAGGCTAAAAAAGAATTCCTACAGTTTTATATAAATGTTAAGGTGTTCAATTATATTCCCTTTTTGAGCGCCATATATATTATAGGTATTAGTATATGTACCAGTATACACATGTACAGTATACTTTAAAATAACATGCCACAAACTTGATCTTGGCACAGTAAATTTGGGGATTTTCATGCCAAAAGAACTGAAAACATAAGGAAAAAAACAAACAGAAGTGCACAATTTTAAGGAAAACATATCCATCATTACGCAAATACTGCCAAAATGCTTCTTTTCTTCCAATTACACATATAACTAGTAAAAGCTGAACCAGGGTTGCAGAGGTTCAATATGTTACATATGCACATTAAGCAATATTTGCATCTCCTATACACAACATTACAAGCCTTAAAAACCTGGCAAACAACCAAGAAGCAGATACAATTTGGACTCATAGCCTCGGATGCATCACAAAAGCATGATGGATTCAGCTGGCTAATAGGTGTACGAGCACGTAAACACGTTGATGAAACATTACGCCAACAGCCTCGTAGTTGAAGCTGCTGTAACACAACCATACTGCAAAAGAAAAATAACATACATATAGAAGATTTTTCTCTAATTCAGCGACAATGTTGACTTTTTGCTACAGCTTAAATACATATAAGAAGGCATTGAGAAGAAGTCTTTTGACGAAGAAATTACATACATTGTGAGGATATTAGACACATCTAGTACATGATTCATATAGGACGTAACAAATGCAAAACAAATAAGAATGTTACAAAAAAAAAGGTAAACAAAAAGATTTTATATATTACAAAAACGTATGCATTTGTGTGTGTGTGATATGTTTGAAATGCAAAAGTTGCATTCTAATTCTTGGACAATTTTCACTACAGTATCTTACATAATATCCAAAAAAATATCCGTTGGTTGATTGTGGAATCAGGATTTCTACTCCTCCTCGGATCCACACATATACAAACTTTCAATATATACAGGTAAGAGGACAAAAAAACCCCCCACAAAAAACAATATAAACCTGGCTGCAGGGATCACATTAGATAATTGCACAATGTCTGAGGAAAGCACTAAGAAAGTAAACATGTTAATGGGGGAAAAAAATGAGCCACAACTGGTGGTAAAAGCTGGCTTTATGTTGTAGATTCTTCAAAAATAAGAGACTCTCAACAGGATCTCTTAAAGCACAGGGGAACAGTTTTCTACATAGAGTGGATTTGTTTAAGGAGTTCTTGCTAGGAAAATAGTTATGCTATAGACCTGTGAATATAACCCCACTGTACACACATCACTCATATGCTGTACATTCTTTAGCAGTTATAGTCTCTCTTAATGTACATCTATTCTGCATTTCACACAAGTCTGCACTCGTAATGTATAATTCGGTAAAGAACCAAAATAAATTGCTGTGCGCCGACTATACTTGTGATGCCAAAATCTAATAAAGAGTGCTGACAGAGAAGTAAAGCAGTGAAAAGTGGGACAATGGCTACATGTCTGTGGCTGAGTTAAACATACAACTTACAGTGAAGTAAATGATTGGCAAACAAAAAAAAAAGAAAAGCAACTTTATCAGTGTCAGTCTTTCAGAATGCTCCTCTACATCCACACCATCGCTGCTGTCATCTTAAGGTCATTAAATCCTCTTCTGTATCACCATTCTCACCCATTAGTAAGCAGGAAGGGAGGAATAATGCACGTGGGTGAGTGTGGGAGTACAAACATTGATCATGGAGACAAAAAAAGAAAAAGGAAAGTGAAGGTGTCAGTTTCTTCGTGTCCTGTAGAGGGCGACACAGTCCGGCTAATGGCCTTCCCTCCTTGTGAGTCTGAGTTCTCCCATTTTGGGTAGATGCAGGTTCAGGTTGACAGCAGCACAGAGAGATGAAAGACAGCAGGCTTATTCCATCTCTACCTCTGCTTTGAGACAAAGAAATCAGGAATAAGGTGAGATTATATAGCAACAAACCAAGAATCTCCATTTTAGTACATATAGCAACATGTGCAATTCCTACATTAAGAAGATTTAGGGAAAGTAAATAAAAATACTGGTTTAAAGATGAAATACAATCCCTTGCCACTTTATTAAGTACATGTTAGTGTTTCCATTATTTTGTCTATACCTCTATGCATTCAACAACACCACAAACTACATCCTCCAAAACAACTATACAGTTGAATCAACACCTCTTTAAAACAGTTCCAACAACATTATAACCTTCATGGAGGTTTATTGCAGGACTGAGCAAACTCACCATCCACTCCTTTGTTCTTGTTTTCTTCTCCCTCTGGAGATTCAGCCCCTTCAGACAACTCTCCTGTAAAGTCAGAATAGTTGGGTTATTTGTCACACTGACGCAGGTACATTAGGCACTTGAGCTTAATTTCTTAAATGAAAGGTGCTATAAAAATCAAGTTATTATTATTATTTAGTGGTAGCAAAAATGCACTCTATCCAAACAAGAAAATATAATACTCAAAGAATCCTCTCTCCTTTATGAAGTGTGTAATCTTCAACCTTGGTGACCTGCCAATGAGTCAGTCCTTACAAACCAAACATTGTTCAAACCCACAGAATGATTTGGGATCTCCACTAGAATTTTTTTTTTTTTTTTAGGAAAAAAAATCCCACCTTGACCTTTGCAAGGTTGGGAGATGATACAAATTCAAACTGTCACAGATAATTTAATAAAAAATGGGTTGAGAAAGGACATTCACTGTAGCTTTAATGGCCACTTAGGTGTGAAAAAGTACTGCATGTCAATATACTTTATGTATAACGCATTTAGAGAAATTGCCCTATGCCACGTCTCGTATAAGCAGGCTATGCCATAGGATGACACAGTTTAAGGGATGTACCGTTCTGCAGTGGAGGATTCTTGTGTAAGGTGCTCCCAGGCTGTGCTCCCTGCTCTGTCTCCCCTGCGTTACCATCTGGTGGTCTGCTGACCTCTGCCGACTCGGACGCCTCCCCCTCCAATTTGTCCTCCTCTGGTTCAGGCTGTTCTGATTCTGTGTCGATCTCCTGGGGCTCCATAGCCTCTTCCTGCTGGGCTTGCTCCTCCGCTTCTTTTTTAGCTCTCTCCTCCGCCTCTGAGGTCACATGGGGTGTGGAAGCAGGTTAGCATGTGTGTGAGTGAGTGTCTGGGTGCATTAATTCATCACCACTTATTTCTTACTTAAAGCCAGAGGCAGATTTCTAAAACGTCACTAAGGGCATTCAATATTTAAACCTGCATTAACTGAGTTTTTGGCCACCTGGGGGCAGTAGAAACAAGCTGCAAACACATTTCTTCTTTGTTTTTTGTTTTTCTGTTCATAAATATTGGTAACTAACTAATACATGCACATGAATTTCTCACTCAGAAGGCACTAAGCATCCAGTTACAATTGTCAGTAATTGATTAATAAATGCTTCTTACAATAAACCCTCCAATTGTGAATGACAATAAACTGTTAAAAGAATAGATTTTTGAGGCTGGACTACTGTAGCTCACTGTGTATACTTCAAAATCCCCCACTTACAGAGATCAGTCAAAATCCCCCTCTGAGCAAGATAAGAGCATTGCAGCTTTCCCCCATTCTTGTGGATCTAATGATCTATTCAGTTTTACCTGGGCAATAATGTTCCAGGTCCCCAAATTATTATTTTATTATATAAT